GCATGGTTCAAAATAGGGCAAGGTGTGTGCCAGGGATGTGTCTTGTCTCCACACTTTTTCAATATATGTGCAGAACAGATCATCTGGGAGGCTGGGCTGTATGAGGAGGAATGTGGCATCAGGATTGGAGGTAGACTCATCAACAGCCTGTATTATGCAGATGGCACAACCTTGTTTGCTGAAACGGAGGAGGACCTCAAGCACCTGCTGCAGAAGGTCGAGGACTGCAGCCTTCAATATGGATTGAAGCTCAATATCAAGAAAACAAATATTCTCTCCATTGGGCCAGTTGGCAGCATTATGATAGATGGTGACAAGATTGAAATTGTTAACAGCTTTAGTTTGCTTGGCTCCACAATCAATACTCCTGGTGCCAACGGCTAGGAAATCAAAAGACTTATTGCATTGGAAAAGTTGGCTGTCAGGGACCTCTCCAGAGTACTGAAAAACAATGACATCAGTCTGAAGACTAAAGTGCACCTGATCCAGGCCACAATCTTTGCAATTGCTTGCTGTGTGTCAGAGTATTGGACAATGACTAGGAGTGATAGAGATCTGATGCCCTTGAGCTGTGGTGCTGGAGAAGAGTGTTGAATATACCATGGACTGGCAGGAAAAGAAACAGGTCTGTTCTGGAGATGGTGAAACCAGGCTGATCCTTGGAGTCAAGGATTTTGAAGCTCTATCTCACATACTTTGGGCATGTGGCGAGGAGGACTAGTCCTTGGAGAAGGACATCATGCTTGAAAGGGTGTAGGCACAGTGCAGGAAAGGAAGACCATGGATAAGATGGATTGACATGATAAATGGGGCAGTGGGATTAATGGGATTAGGTGTGTTACAATCAGTGAGACTGGCTGAGGACAGGGCAGGGTTCAGAGTCGTATACAGGGTCGCTATGAGTTGCAGGCAAATTGACGGCACTTAACACCATCACAACATTATACTGCAAGATTGATCTAGAAATGGTCTTTTAATTAAGAATGTGACCTTGATTTTGCTCATCTTTTCATTACCCTCATAATAAATCATGTGGTTGTCAGAATCAAAATGACCCAAGCCAGTCTGTCTCATATCACCAATGCCAAGTTGGTCAATGCATTCCATTTCTTCCTTAACAGTGTCTTATTTTCCTACATTCTTACTTCTCATATTCCATGTTTGCATCACCAGTGTCTGCTTGCAACTGTTCCTTCAGGCTGCTCTGAAGGAATTGGGAAAAAAACAAGGCTCCAGTTGAAATATTTCAGCAAACATGCTGGCCTGAATATGCTCACAAGGTTGTGCCAAGAAATATGGAGAACCACTACCTGGCCAACTGACTGGAAGAGATCCATACTTATTCCCATTCCAAAAAAGGTGATTCAACAGAGTACTGAAACTATCAATATCATATGCACGCAAAATCCTGCTCAAGATTATCCACAAATGACTGGGACAGTATATAGATAGAGAACTGCCAGAAATACAAGCTGGGCTTAGAAGAGGCCATGGCACTAGGGACATCAGAGCCAGGGTTAGATGGGTCTTGGCTGAAAGCAGAGAATACCAAAGAAATGTCTATTGGTGTTTAATTGACTGTGCAAAAGCATTTGACTGTGTGGATCATAAGAAATGGTGGCTAACATTTAGAAGAACGGGAATCACAAAGAAAGGGAACACTGGATGGTGCAAAATCAGGAAAGGAGTGCATCAAGGGGGAGGGGCGACACTGAATCCTTTGATCACCTCTGTAATGGGGAAATGTCTTTCATCTCCTTTCTGTAAAATGCTTGTCTGTCAGATAAGGTTCTAAAGCTGAACATTCAAATTAAGACAGACTAGAAAGAAGGATTGGCATCCACTTCCAAAATAACAGGCCTTTGAAAACTCTATGTACAATAGAGCACACTTAGACTAGCAGATACGGCACCTGAGGCTGAGCCCTCAAGTATGGAAAGACAAAGGAGGAGGAATAGTTGTAAGCAGATATAAGTGATTGGAACGTGGAATGTGAGAAGCATGAATGTAGAAAAATTGGCCATTGTTAAGAAAGAAATTGAATGCATAAACATTGACATACTAGGTATTGTTGCAATGACGTGCACTGGCATGTGGCATTTTGAATCAGACAATCATATGATCTACTAGGCCAGAGATGAAAAGGTGAGGAAAAATGGGGTTGCTTTCATAGTTAAAAAGGTCATTTACAGATCTGTCTTGAAATACAATGTTGTGACAGGATAAGTTGTGGTATTGGAGAAGAGTATTGAAAATACCTTGAGGCAAACTGGATAGATTATGTATACTGCATTGAAACAGATGAAGGAGAGAACAGTTTAAAAGAGATATATGATAGGGTATTATGGTTATCACAAGATTCCATAATTAAGGTTGCATAGTGGAATACATTCAAGGCAGGCGGGAGGATGGGGAGTGGGGAGTATTATATACCAATGAAGGAGTTTATCTTTTGCTTTTCAAAGAGAGGTGCAAACTGCAGGGTTGGCGGGGTAGAGAAAAAAGTGTAACAGTTTAATGAATGGAAATCCAAAATCTCTATAAATGTTCATTAAAATTAATAAAATAAAATTTTAAAAAAAACAAACAAAAAAACCCAGACTCTCAGGGAATGTGGCCAAACACCAGAAAAGACAAGCTGGCCAAAAATCATCATACGTCTATTAGAAGGAATGCACTATCAGCTGTGTAAACCCCACTCTCTACTGGCAAAGGATATATAAAGCCTTTTGTAAGAAAAAGACAGGGTCATTCTGTCCTGACCCATCCAGAGTCTGTTATGAATGTCTAATAAACCTCAGTTTCTTTTTAAAAAAACAAACAAAAAAACCTTGACCTGCCAAGAGAACAAAAGCTTTGCCTGGAGACGGTGAAAACAAGCTGTTCCTTTAGAGGCAAGGATTGTGAAGCTGTATCTGACATACTTTGGGCATGATGTCGGGAAGGACCCATCCTCGGAGAAGGTCATCATGCTTGGAAGGGTGGAGAGACAGCACGAGAGAGGAGGACCCAGGAGAAGGTGGATTGACACAGTAAGGGCAGAAATAGGGGTGAGTATTTCAGAAACAATGAGATTGGCTCAGGGTAGGACAAGGGTCGCTGTGAGTCCAGGTGACTTGATGGCAGATAACAACAACGTGAGTCATAGCCGACTTGATGACACTTACCCTAACATCCAGCTTTGTCTCACTCGCAGCCCCGGTGTCATTTGGGGCTCATTCTTGTCCTACCGTGACCATCCTGTGTGACACACAGAGACCCTGATCTCCACCTACTAGCCCTCAGCAGAGTGGTGACAAAAGTGTCTCTAGGAATTGCCAAGAGCGTTTGTGTTTTGATGAGACTCCAGCTCAGTTCCTTGGGATGCATCAACAGGAAACGCTCATTGCTCAAAAAGGGCATCGTGGTTGGAACTCACAGAGAGTCCCTGAAAACAAGGTGACCCTCGGGGAGATGGACTCAAATACACCAGTGCTTATGAAGCTGGAGAGGACCAGCAGATTCGGCTCCACCCTTTTCGTTTGTATCTTGAAAAGCTCATTCATGGTATCGTGTGAGCACATAGCCGTTCCTCTGATTCCCAGCCCCAGCCCAGTCTCCATTCAGATGGGAGGGCATCCCCCTTCCACGTTCTCAGCTCTGTCTTCTTTTCCCTTCCAGGCAGGTGGAAGAGTATTTTCTCCCTCGGATGATACGGGACCTGACCCAGCAGGTGAGCCCTGGGTTCAGAATTGCTTTCAGGCTGCACATCTCAGTTTCGCGCTACTGGTGAGCTGTATGGGGCTTGGCCGCCTGTGGACCAGAGGAGCAGAACCGTGGGAGTTGGTCATCGTCCACATTGATTCCAGCTCGTGAGCCATGGAATGACAGGATGGGCCTGCGTCATCTGCAGCGTCCCTATGTTGTCCGAGTCCCCGTCGTAGCTTCTTGAGGGTCTCCCTCCCTTTTGCTGACCCTCTACCTCCTTGACCGCTGAGCCCTTTTCTCATGATGGGTCTTTCCCTGATTTCACATTGTTAGAAACATGGCTTTGATGTCATGACAGAAACACGGGCAGAATGAAAGATCTCAGCAAAGCACTTTTCTTGTGCCGAAGTGTGCCTGGGCAGACCGAAGTCTGATCAACACGCACACCAGGGGGTGGTCCACTTGGGTTTTGATCCTTGACACAAAAGCGAAGGCTGTGTCTCACCCTTGGTCAGAGGTTCCGCCCTCACAGTCTTGTTCCTGCCTGGTTTGCTAATTTGACCTGGGCTTGAAAGGAGGGGGCTCGGGCTTGAGGGTGTTTGGAATGTCTTTGCTTCTGGGGATGATGGGGCTCCAGGAACTGGCCTTGGCTGGCTCACAAGAATGTACAAGGACAAGGGAGTTTCTCTTAGTCATTTTCAGAAGAATGACTGTTTTGTTTCCGCTCTAATTCCATCCTGTAACTTATGAAGAAAGAAAATTGTTTTCTTCCTTACAACATCCAGAGTGAGCAAGTTCCAGTTTCACCAGCCTCACTTTAGAGAACTCTCTGGTTTTACTTTTAAGACTGATTCATTAGAAGCAGTTCTTCTGGAGGTCCGCGGGGCGTTCAGTTCTCTCTCCGACACCACAGCTTGGATCAGCCAGCCATTCACTCTTGCTTTGTCATCGTCTAGAACTCATGTTCATATGAGGCGCTTGATAAGACCCTGACTGGGGACAGGGGCACCTTAGCCGTCACAGTGACCTCTTTGCCTTTAGAACCTTAGAGGTCTTTTGCTGCAGGTTTGCTCAGTGTACTGTGTTTTTACACAGGTAAGACCACACAGGTTTCTGCAAAGTGTGCCGCTCCCCGGCTCATTGGTTTTCCATGCACTCCACGTGACTTACGTGCATTACACATTACTTATGGGGGATGTTAGATCCACAATGCGTGATATGTTGTTACACTTCCTGCCTGCTGTCTCCAGGACATTGGCTGTTGGTTGGAATGGAATGAACTCATTGGGGACTTCAGGCTTTTCTCTAACCCGGGTCTCGCCTCCGCAGGCATTTCTGAAGTGTGTCCCAGCTCCGGCAAGCTCCTGCTGTCTTGTTGGCTGCGTCTTTTCCTGTGGGCACTGCTCTCCGTCCTCCCTCCGTACAGACCACCTTCCCCTCCGCTCATCACCACCACCGGCACCCACATTGCTTGTAGTGAAAGATTGTCTGAACTGAGACCAAAATGTCAGTCTCAATTTCAAGTTCTCAGGGAGAGAACTGTCTGGGTTCTGTAGTCCTGCTGTCACAGAAATACCACAAGTGGATGACCTTGATATATGTGTTTTCACAGTGTAGGAGCTGGAAGCCTGGACCCAGAGCAGCAGCCCAAGGGGGAGACTTTCTCTCTGTCACTGTGGCGGGGCAGGGGCGGGGGGCTGTCTCCTTTCTGGGCCTGTGGGCCGTGCGTTCCTTCAAGCTTGTCTCCATGTCTCCTCATCAGTCTTCCCCTGGACCTGGGACGTTCCAGTGTGGGAATCCTGGGTCCAAAGGACATGGTTGCCGCTGGTTCTTTTTTCCCCCTTTTAGTTGTTTGTTGTTGTTATTTGCCGTTGTGTCAAGTATGACTCATAATGACTCTATGAACAAAAGACCTAATGCCTTTCTGTAAATATCATCGTTTTCCAAGTTCATAGAGTCTCCATAGGCATGTGGTTTAGGAAGTGGATGCCACTCCTGCTTCCAAACCTGTTTTACAACTGGGAGCTCCACCAAACACTGTCCACACTGGGAAACCATTCTGGTATTTGATAACCCAGTGGTACAAAGTTCAGCATCACAGCAAACCCAGAATACCTCAGTACAGAAAATTGATGAGAGGGATGTACAAAGTAGAATGTTCCTTTTAGGCAGTTCTATTTTTAATTAATATTTATTATTAATTATTTTATGTCTGGTTTTCTTTTTTAAGCATTTCTATTTCAATACAGTGTGCATTATTTATTCCTTCTTTTCTTAGTTTCCCCTCAACCCCATGTCAGTCTTGTTTTCTAACAGTGGCACTATGCAGTATTTGTCCTTTTCTGACTGAAATATTTCACTCACCATAATGTCCAGCAATTCCACTACTGGGAATAAACCCTAAAGAAATCAGAACTACCACCCTGGTTCTGTTTTGCCAGTGGTGCTGAGTCCTGCCTCTCTGCTCATTTCTCTTCTTTTACCTCTTGTAAGATGACAGGTGCTGCACGCCACACCCTCAGGTTGAGTTGTTAGATGCCCTCAGGAACAATTCACACTGACTCTGAATGACAGACTAAAACTTTGTGCCCCCTGCACCAACCTCAGTCTTTACCATGCTCAGCGCCATTGCTACAGCCGCTGTATCAGTCCTTGCAGTGAGCAAATGAACGACTGAGCCCTGGACTTTTATCATTTATCAGCCAGTCTCCTGGGGCCCCAGACTGTAAGGTGAACCTGAGTGGAGTGAGTGAGCAAACCCCGAGTGGAGGGGGCTCCTCCCCAGCTGTATGGCTGCCAACTTCATCTGATACAGGACACCCACAGTCAAGTCCATTGTCGGGGTTCCCTGGAGCCCCTCTAGAGAGCATGATTGAGGCTCCCATGGTCAAGGGTGGAGTGGTCTGTGGCCAGGTCTCCTGCCGGGGCCAGTTCCTGGGACACGGAGCCGAGGGCCCCATGTGAGCTTGTTCCAGATGCCCCGTCCTCTCCCTTCAGGAGACTGTGCCCTTTGGGGACGCCGTGCTGGCCACCCTGGACACCTGCATTGGGAGCGAGATCTGCGAGGAGCTCTGGACACCCCACAGGTCAGTGCATCCTTTCTGCCAGCCACCCTGTTACTGCTTTGGCCCTGTAGGCAGTGGCTTTGGTGACCTGAGGGGCTGGGGAGCCCAGCAGGCCCTGCATTTCCTCGCCCTCCCACAGCCCGCATGTGGACATGGGTCTAGATGGCGTGGAGATCTTCACCAATGCCTCGGGCAGTCACCACGTGCTGCGCAAAGCCCACGCCAGGGTAGACCTGGTATCCATGGCCACGACCAAGGTAGGTGATAGTGGGCACTGTCTGCCCTACGGAGCCCCCGTCCTGTGGCTGGCTCGGAGGGAGTGGGCTGTGGTGGACTTGCAGGGCCGGTCCTGTGAACTGGTCTGTGTCCTCGAGTATGTGCTGGGGCCCTCACCCCCAACCCTGTGATTCTGCCCTGGAATAGGGCTTTCTTTGCTGTGTGAAGGAGTCCTGGCAGGTTGCACACTGCACTCCCGGGGCCCCTCCCCACACTTCTGGGGACAAGGTCAATCCGTGATCAGCATTGACAGCACTGACTTGAATTCAGCACCACCTTGTCCTAGTTCCAGGGCTGCCCTGACCACCCCCCGATCTCTGATGGGAGGACAGTGCCCACTGAGGGGTGGCTGGGAGGTGGAAGTGGACACCCTGTGTGACAGCCAGGCCAGTGGCCACTGCAGCACTGTAGATCCTCTGGTGCCCTGTGCACGAGTTTTCCTTCTTGAGGGAGGGGCCTCTACAACTTGGTGAGTGGTGGGCGGGAAAGTCTGTCCCCTGCTGAGCACCTCGCTGCCCCCAGCCCCATCTAATAGCCACTCGGCCCTGTGCCCTCTTTCCAGAACGGCGGCATCTACCTGCTAGCCAACCAGAAGGGCTGTGACGGGGACCGGCTGTACTATGACGGCTGCGCCACCATCGCCATGAATGGCCGCATGTTCGCCCAGGGCTCCCAGTTCTCCCTGGATGACGTGGTAACGTGCCCGTGGGCAGTTCTGGCGGTGGCACCCCTCCCGGTCAGGCCTTGGACCCTGGGGCAGTGTCTCTGCTCTCCTGTCACCAGGGTCCTGCCCCCTGAGCCCCACCTCCTCATCATGGAGGGTCCCCAAGCTGCCCCAGGTGCACTGACCCTAGCCAGGGGTGAGACAGATCTAGTCGGTCCAGAGAGCTGGGAACTGCATTGTGGGAGTGATGTCACTATCAAGGACACATGGGACGTGCAGGGCAAAGGGGGCAAGGCAGTGAGCAAGCCTGGACCCCGGTGGTAATGCCCACCCTGGCACGAGTGTCCCATCAGGGACGTGGAAAGGTGCAGTGGGTCATACACACTAGGCCACACATTTGACTGGCTGATGTTAGATGCCGCCTGTACCTGCCTGCCCGTTCTGACCTATGTACAATTCAACTTAAGGACAGACGTAAGAGCAGATTGTGCTCATCGTGTGAGGATTTTCTTCACAAAGGAATAATCTCCAGGACTAAAACTTACTCCTTTGTGTCCTAAGTTGCAAATGGACCCTAGCACAGGAAAGCGTCACCTCCTGCAGCCCTCAGCTCTGACCCCACCTCGCTGCCGTTCCTCCTGTGTTAACCGCCTCTCAGCCTGCCTGTCCTCAAGGTCACAGGATGGCTACAGCAGCGCTAGCCATCCCATCTTCTGCAGAGACATAGAAAGTGCTGCTTCTTGAGAGGAGAGACTTTTCCAGAAACCCACGGTAGCAGCAGAGCTTGGCCCTGGTCACTAAGCCGTTACTGGCGTGTCTCAATGCCATAGAGGCACTGGAGGCCACAGGAAGGGGACAGGCATGAGGTCGGCTCTGACCCTGGGTCCCACACCCCCACAGCTCAAAGCACCACTCCAGACAGCACAGTCTGGTTCGGTTGATGCACCTGTCAGCACCCTTGAATCCCTGTGGGCACGGAGCTCACAGGAAGTCACGTCTTCTCTTCTCCGCAGGAAGTCCTCACAGCCACCTTGGACTTGGAGGATGTCCGGAGCTACAGGGCAGAGATCTCCTCCAGGAATTTGGCGGTGCGTCCCTTCAGTCCCCTGAGCGAGGAGTCCTGAGAGACTGGACTTTGTGAGACCCTGTGGTTTGGGGTGTGGGATGCTGGAGGCCGGAAAGGACTCAGAAGGTGGTGAAGCTGCAAGGTTTCCTTCTGCCAGTTAGTGTCACCTCTGGGGGTTCTGGATAATTAGAGACAACACTGCACCCGAGAAGCCCAGGGGTGGTGGGGTGCAGCCACAAAAGAGACCAGCGCTGTCGGCACAGCACCTGCAGGGGCCCGTGCTTGAGGAAGGGGGGGGGCAGGCAGCATGGGCAGCAGGCATGAGTGACCTCTCCTCTCCTCTCCTCTCCTCTCCTCTCCGTGGACCATTGGGTCAGGGCCTGGGGTCGTCTGTACCCCACCCCCTAGACTGAACACAGGTCAGTTCTGCATCCCCTGCAGAGGCGCTGCTGATAGGCTAGTGTCAGGAGTTTATCTAGAACATGGTTGTGGGTGGGATAGTACCCGGTGGTCACCACAGGTCAGCGACCTTACAACCAACAACAATGTGACACTCAGAGCGGACTCATGCTTGGCATTTTGAGCCGCTCTGTTCTCAGCTGGCCTGGTTCTCGTGCCCACCTCACGCTGGCTCTGGGCTCGGGCCACTGCTGTGGTGCCCACCCTGCGCCAGTAGCCTCAGTGCGACGTAGTCCCCAGGTCGTGCCGTTCACCACTTCACGGGGCCGGCGGGGCCTTTGCTGTGTTCTGACTGTGCGACCACCATCACCATCAGTGTATTTTCTTCACTTCGAGAAGTACCCATCTTTCAGATGTCACCCCCAGACTTCCCCACCCCCAGCCCTAAACAAGCTGTCTTCTCCCTCCGTCTTTATAGTTTCCCACTGTGTGGACCCGGCATTGTGTGTTCTTATGTGAGACGGCCTCTTTCACTCAGCACGCTGCGTTCATGCGTGGTGTTGTTGGGTGCTGTCAAGTGAGCCACTCATAGCAACCCTGGGAACAACACATCGGAGCCTTGACGCAGACTCACGCTCTCTGGCACGCTCGAGCCCATTGTCACGCTCATGTGTCGGTCCAGCTGGTCGAGGGTCTTCCCCTCCTCCTCTTCCCCTCGTCTTTCCCAGCATGGCGTCCCTCTCCGAGGAAGACACTCTCCTAACAACAAGCGCAGACACTCTCCTAACAACAAGCGCAGACTCTCTGAGACGGAGCTTGGGCGTCCTGGCCTCTAAGGTGCCCCCTGGTGGCCCTTCCTCCAGGATAGACTGTTGTTGTTATGTGCCGTCGAGTCCTTTGCGACTCATAGCGACCCTATGTACAACAGCCCTAAACTGTACGGTACTCTATCCTGTGCCAGCCGCACTGCCTCTGACACACTCATCCCAATTACCCCAGTCACTGAATCAATCCACCTCATAGAGGGTCTTCCCCTCCTGCGCTGTCCCTCCACTCTGCCCAGCATGATGTCCCTCTCCAAAGACCTGTCTCTCCTTAGAACATGTCCAAAGTATGTCAGACGAAGCCCCA